CCCCCCCCCAACGTTTTTATTCTGTGACTCTGATCAGTGTACCAGGGACTCTTCCTTATATATAAGCTATATTTGTGCTTACCTATAGTATGAGTTTGACCCCCTTCCATTACCACAAGGTTGTTTAGATGGGGCGACCCGGTCATATTGGAGGTGGACGTTCAATTCAAAGGGTTTAATAGCCTTACAGTGTTGAAAAAGGTCCGAAGCACAAATAATTACCGTCAAGAGAAGCGACGTTCAATTTGACGGAAGTCTCATAATAATATTGGAGCGAGTCGAGGGGGTTTGGAACCTTGAAAACGCTTAAAACGAATTCAAGTTTGAGATAATCATTATTATGGACTCGAACTGCTATCCAGTGTGGTACAAATCAGCACACATAGCACGCACTGTTTGTTTCGAGTAATGAGCTTTCCTGTCAAGAAATCAAGACGACTCTTTGTCCGCCGTGGGTGGTTGGCGAGTGCTTGGGTGTGGTTTGCTCCTTCTGTCCTATCAAACATCTATTCGTCTGATCTCTCCTCCTTTTTTGCGTTTGTTACTCTCTGGTGACTCCTCTAATCTTCGGCACTTGTATCACGTTTTTGTGTTGCCAGTGCCTTAAAACTTTTACAAAAAAAATAACCTTTGTAATTTGTTCACCGGAAAGCAAGTGGGTTCGGTTGTCACGTTGGGATGTTCTCTTGTCGGCGGTCTCCGTCTTTGTGCCTGGGCATGTGCAGGACATTCCTTGCCGGAAAAGCTAGAGTCTTGGCCCGCCCTCTTAATGATGTAAATTGTGTCGATGGGGGTGTAAAACATTCAGCGTCATTTGACCCCCTGTTGCTTTCTCTCCACGTCTGTGCGTCACGGTAACTGCACTGGGGCCCGGGGGTCGACGGGCTTCTGGCTGATCTCTAATACAAACCTGGACCGCCTGGGCGCCAGCTGGCTGGGTGGTCACTTGCTATGGCTGTGGCTGGCTGCAGTCACTCTGACCACTGTTTGATGACCAATGTGTTTGGGAAGGAGGGGTACGTTTCCTCCCCTATTGTATTTATAAATGTCCTTTTTGTTCTGCCTCCTGTTTCATTGAGTCGGTTTTTGTTTTTGTTGTTGTTGTTGTTGGTACCGTACTTATTCCCTCTTCATGCCCCCCTTACCTCCCATGCTCGCTCACCCTCCTCCCCCAAATCTCTGTCTCTCTGTCTGTCTGTCTCTCTCTTTCTCTCTGTCTCTCTCTGTCTCTCTCTGTCTGTCTGTCTCTCTCTGTCTGTCTGTCTGTCTGTCTGTCTCTCTCTCTCTCTCT